TAACTTTAATACACCCTGAAGCTTCCTGGTCCTGAGTGTAACTTGTTACACCCTAAGCTTCCTGGTCCCTGATGTTAACTTGATACACCCTGAAGCTTCCTGTGTTCCTGATGTTAACTTGATACACACTGAAGCTTTCCTGGTCCTGAGTGTTTAACTTGATACACCCTGAAGCTTCCTGGTCCTGAGTGTTTAAATTTGTTACAAACCCTGAACTTTGGTCCTGAGTGTAACCTTGATACACCCTGAGCTTCCTGGTCCGAGTGTTAACAACTTGATACACCCTGAAGCTCCTGGTCCTGATGTTAACATTGATACACCCTGAAGCTTCTGTCCTGGAGTGTTAACTTGGTACACTCCTGAAGCTCCTGTCCTGAGTGTTAACTTGATACACCCTGAAGCTTCCTGGTCCTGAGTGTTAACTTGATACACCCTGAAGCTTCCTGGTCCTGAGTGTTAACTTGATACACCCTGAAGCTTCCTGGTCCTGAGTGTTAACTTGGTACAGCTATAAATATAAGCTAATTTCTTGATCTTTTTTTTTTCATTGTATGGAGTGGGATTGCAGAGTGGTTTTGGAGAGTGGGTTTTGGAGAGTGGGTTTTGGAGAGTGGGTTTTGGAGAGTGGGTTTTGCATGGTTTGGTAGCACCAGCAAGGATTCCACACCTAAGAGAGTACGAGTCCATACCTAAGAGAGTACGAGTCCATACCTAAGAAAGTACTAGTCCATACCTAAGAAAGTACGAGTCCATACCTAACAAAGTGCGAGTCCACACGTAAGAAAGTACGAGTCCATACCTAAGAAAGTACTAGTCCATACCTAAGAAAGTACGAGTCCATACCTAACAAAGTGCGAGTCCACACCTAAGAAAGTACGAGTCCATACCTAAGAAAGTACGAGTCCATACCTAAGAAAGTACGAGTCCATACTTAAGAAAGTACGAGTCCATACTTAAGAAAGTACGAGTCCATACCTAAGAAAGTACGAGTCCATACCTAAGAAAATACGAGTCCATACCTAAGAAAATACGAGTCCACACCTAAGAAAGTACGAGTCCATACTAAGAAAGTACGAGCCCATACCTAAGAAAGTACGAGTCCATACCTAAGAAAGTACGAGTCCATACTCAAGAAAGTACGAATCCACACCTAAGAAAGTACGAGTCCACACCTAAGAAAGTACGAGTCCATACCTAAGAAAGTACGAGTCCATACCTATGAGAGTACGAGTCCATACCTAAGAAAGTACGAGTCCATACCTAAGAAAGTACGAGTCTATACCTAAAAAGTACGAGTCCATACCTAAGAAAGTACGAGTCCATACTTAAGAAAGTACGAGTTCACACCTAAGAAAGTACGAGTCCTCACATAAGAAAGTAACGAGTCCATTACCTAAGAAAGTACGAGTCCATACTTAAGAAAGTACGAGTCCATACTTAAGAAAGTACGAGTCCATACCTAAGAAAGTACGAGTCCATACCTAAGAAAGTACGAGTCCACACCTAAGAAAGTACGAGTCCACACCTAAGAAAGTACGAGTCCATACTTAAGAAAGTACGAGTCCATACTTAAGAAAGTACGAGTCCATACCTAAGAAAGTACGAGTCCATACCTAAGAAAAACGTCCACACTAAGAAAGTACGAGTCCACACCTCAAGAAGTACGATTCCATACCTAAGAAAGTACGAGTTCCATATCTAAGAAAGTACGATCCCATACCTAAAGAAAGTACGAGTCCATACCTAAGAAAGTACGAGTCCATACCTAAGAAAGTACGAGTCCACACCTAAGAAAGTACAAGTCCACACCTAAGAAAGTACGATCCATAAACTCTAAGAAACACGAGTCCATACTTAAGAAAGTACGAGTCCACACCTAAGAAAGTACGAGTCCATACCTAAGAAAGTACGAGTCCACACCTAAGAAAGTACGAGTCCACACCTAAGAAAGTACGAGTCCATTCTTAAGAAAGTACGAGTCCATACTTAAAGTACGAGTCCACACCTAAGAAACTACGAGTCCACACCTAAGAAAGTACGAGTCCATACTTAAGAAAGTACGAGTCCATACCTAAGAAAGTACGAGTCCACACCTAAGAAAGTACGAGTCCACACCTAAGAAACTACGAGTCCACACCTAAGAAAGTACGAGTCCATACTTAAGAAAGTACTAGTCCATATCCGGTCGGGGGGGGGGGGCTTAGAAAGTACGAGTCCACACCTTAGAAAGTACGAGTCCACACCTAAGAAAGTACGAGTCCACACCTAAGAAAGTACGAGTCCACACCTAAGAAAGTACGAGTCCACACCTAAGAAAGTACGAGTCCACACCTAAGAAAGTACGTTTAAAAGCTGGATAAAAGAGAGAGACTTACAGGTAGGTCGGCTCAGAACCCAGAAAGTTGGAGTGAGAACCTTGAAATATTAACTATGTCAACCTGGGAAGACAGAAGCATCAGGGGAGACATGATAATGATGTACAAAGTATTCCAAGGTATCCAAAGAGTGTGAAAGAACAGACTGAAATGTGAGGCGCAGAAATGAGGGATAGAAGGAATAAAAAGGAGACAAAATGGCCAAATTTAAGGTTAAAGGACATGAAAGAAAAGATAGAGAATATTTATTTCCACATCTGGTGGCCTGGTGGTTAACGCTCTGGCTTCACACGGTGAGGGCCCTTGGGTTCGTTCCCAGCCAGAGTAGAAACATTGGACGTGTTTCTTTCCACCTGTTGTCTATGTTCCCCATCAGTAAAATGAGTACCTGGGTGTTAGTCGACTGGTGTGGGTTGCATCCTGGGACACTGACCTAAGGAGGCCTGGTCACAGACCGGGCCGCGGGGGCGTTGACCCCCGCAACTCTCTCCAGATAAACTACACCAGGAACAACAAGAAGCAACACTTGTCAGTTAAGATAAACTGATGACGAAAAGTCTGCAAGAAAAATATTTTTCTCAGTCTGGTAAACCAAAAGAGAGAATAAAAAAAAACGAGAGGATATATAAATTATTGAAGCCGGAACACGACTGTAGCTCAGTTTCTGTAGCTACAAAGAAAAAAGGTAACTGGATACAGGAGTTGTGAATCAACCCCTGCAACCCCACACACACACACACACATACCACACACACGTTCAGGACCCTGTACACCGTGTACGTTAGGCCCATATTGGAGTATGCGGCACCAGTTTGGAACCCACACCTAGCCAAGCATGTAAAGAAACTAGAGAAAGTGCAAAGGTTTGCAACAAGACTAGTCCCAAAGCTAAGAGGTATGTCCTACGAAGAGAGGTTAAGGGAAATCAACCTGACAACACTGGAGGACAGAAGAGATAGGGGGGACATGATAACGACATACAAAATACTGAGAGGAATTGGACAAGGTGGACAAAACAGATGTTTTCCAGAGATTGGACACAGTAACAAAAGGGACACAGTGGAAGTTGAAGACACAGATGAATCACAGGGAGGATAGGAGTATTATCTTCAGCCACAGAGTAGTCAGTAAGTGGAAAGTTTTGTGGAAGCGATGTAGTGGAGGGAGATCCATACATAGCTTTAAGCAGAGGTATGATAAAGCTCACGGCTTAGGGTGAGTGACCTAGTAGCGATCAGTGAAGAGGCGGGGCCAGGAGCTCGGACTCGACCCCCGCAACCTCAACTAGGTGAGTACACACACACACACACACCATATTAAGTGGATAATACATATAAATTAATCTCATTATGACCTTGGTCATAACAGAGAGTCTTCCTATATGGCTGAGGGACATGACTAAGTGTAAAGGATACAGCACTAAGTATTAAAACATCAGTAAGTGTGCAAATATATATATTATAATCTTTCATGTTATGTGTTTGTGTTTTGGTACATGTTGTGGGGGAGGGGCAGCATAATGCTGTGAGTAGCACTGTATGTCTGACAGGTCCTTAACACTACCACCCACATCATACTGGGGTGGATGTAATGGTATTCGTGAGATGACATCTCAGCCTTATAAGCCTTCTACTGTTCTATTATTTTTTACAGTTATGTACTTGATAATGTGAGAAATTGCAAAAGTGCTTGGAAGTTCACTATTTATTATACAGTGATTGTTTTCCATACACGCACACACACATGCACTCGCCTTTAACCCTTAAACGGTCCAAACTTATATATACGATCACGCGAGTAGCGCCCCAAACATATATATATGTTTTGTTTGTTATTCATTCAACATTGCCACGATAAGTGGCCCGGTGGCCTGGTGGCTAAAGCTCCCGCTTCACACACGGAGGACCCGGGTTCGATTCCCGCGGGTGGAAACATTTCGACACGTTTCCTTACACCTGTTGTCCTGTTCACCTAGCAGCAAATAGGTACCTGGGTGTTAGTCGACTGGTGTGGGTCGCATCCTGGGGGACAAGATTAAGGACCCAATGGAAATAAGTTAGACAGTCCTCGATGACGCACTGACTTTCTTGGGTTATCCTGGGTGGCTAACCCTCCGGGGTTAAAAATCCGAACGAAATCTTATCTTATCTTATCTCTTAAGTCTGAGTTACCTAGACATGAGAGAATGGGTGTGTGCACTCACTGTCTGCCATATTAAAATAATTGGGGATGCCTGGGTACCATATGCTCTTTTTTCCTTTTAATTTTTTTTTTTTTTTTTTCTCAAAAGATTTGGGGCGCTACGCGTGTGAACGTATGTATACGTTTGGACCGTTTAAGGGTTAACAACTGAGTAAAAAAAAAACACACACACACATGCATGCGCGCAAATGCACCCATGCACACACGTGCACGTACACAAAAACACACACACACACACACACACACACACACACACACACACACACTAACACACACTAACACGCTAACAGGCCTAGTGTCTAATCGACATGTGCCTAGGACAAAATGGTAACTAACACACACACAACACACACACACACACACACACACACACACACACACACACACACACACACACACACACACACACACACACACACTGACCTAGTATGAAGGGAGGACCGCACAGCAAGATGACCATCTTCCTGCCCAGGGCATCAATGAGGTAGCCACCTATGATGCTGCCCGTGAGGGCACTGAGGGGCATTAGTGAGCCGATCCAAGACTTCTCTTCCTCCGTCACGTTGATAGTTGAGTTAGCACTGCTGAGGGAGGCCAGGGCGGGGGAGGTGTAGGCAGCACTGAACCCAACTGCCATCGATCCCATAGCTACAGACACAGCAGCCAGTACCTGAACCAGACATATTTATTATTATTATTATTATTATTATTATTATTATTATTATTATTATATTTTTTTATTAACACATCGGCCGTCTCCCACCAAGGCAGGGTGGCCCGAAAAAGAAAAACTTTCACCATCATTCACTCCATCACTGTCTTGCCAGATGCATGTCTACACTACAGTTATAAAACTGCAACACTAACACCCCTCCTTCAGAATGCAGACACTGTACTTCCCATCTCCAGGACTCAAGTCCGGCCTGCCGGTTTCTCTCAAACCCTTCATAAATGCTACCTTGCTTACACTCCAACAGCACGTCAAGTCCTAAAAACCATTTGTCTCCATTCGCTGGGCTTGTGAGGTCTCTGTAGGGAGACCTAATTTAACCAATTATATGGTCACACCTTGGCTTGGCAAATGGCTGGTAACCACGCCTTTTCGGCTTAAGTCTGAGGTCTTTTGTTCGTGACGGCGTCAGACCTCGGTGTCAGGTCGTAACACGTGGTCTACACCTTATGGGGAAGGAGGTGCTTAGAGGAATATAAGCCAGGGAGCAGCTGAGCAAGGGTTGTTGGAGACAGGTCCAGGGAGCAAGAGCTCTGGACAGCCGCGTGTGTAGTGGACCACACATTGGGAATCTCGGGTCAGCTGGTCGGTGAATTAAGAGTGAGTACTAGTCCATGTTATTGATAACATCTACCCTTCCCCCTGGTAATAAGTCTCAAAGGTTAATTGTTATATTATGTCAGTTTCCATCAGGATATGTCGTATTCTACCCCTTTTATGTTATTAAGTAAACTATAGCCATAGTTCCCATTTTATTTGTACCTTCATATGTTATTCCATATTCTGTTAAGCACTGGGATAATACGTGAGACATTTACCCACTCTGCCTCAGGTATCCCAGCAAGTGAGCACGTCTTCTGTTATCCCAGTGCTTAACAGATTATGGAATAGCATATGAAGGTACAAATAAAATGGAACTATGGCTAAAGTTTACTTAATAACATAAAAGGGGTAGAATACGACATATCCTGATGGAAATTGACATAATATAACAATTGACCTTTGAGACTTATTACCAGGGGAAGGGTAGATGTTATCAATAACACGGACTAGTACTCACTCTTAATTCACCGACCAGCTGACCCGAGATTCCCAATGTTTGGTCCACTACACACGCGGCTGTCCAGAGCTCTTGCTCCCTGGTCCTGTCTCCAACAACCCTTGCTCATTAAAATGGCATAAAATACCGACAGGTTGTTAGGTAAGACACATATGCAACAGTTAGGTATCTTTATTTCGAAACGTTTCGCCTACACAGTAGGCTTCTTCAGTCGAGTACAGAAAAGTTGATAGAAGCAGAAGATACTTGAAGACGATGTAATCAGTCCATCACCCTTGAAGTTTTGAGGTGGTCAGCTCCTCAGTCTGGAGTGAGAATGGCTGGATTTGAGAGGGACCTGACCTTCCAACGACAACATTCTTACCTCTACTAGTGGCCTACATCTCACCTCCTGGCGGTATATAGGCTCCATCCTGTCACTTCAACTCCATATTGTTTCAGACTATGGAACAATACTCTTCTCCAGACTGAGGGACTGACCACCTCAAAACTTCAAGGGGTGATGGACTGATTACATCGTCTTCAAGTATCTTCTGCTTCTATCAACTTTTCTGTACTCGACTGAAGAAGCCTACTGTGTAGGCGATACGTTTCGAAATAAAGATACCTAACTGTTGCATATGTGTCATACCTAACAACCATTGTTCAGCTGTTCCCTGGCTTATATTCCTCTAAGCACCTCCTTCCCCATAAGGTGTAGACCACGTGTTACGACCTGACAACCACGCCGAAAAGGCGTGGTTACCAGCCATTTGCCAAGCCAAGGTGTGACCATATAATTGGTTAAATTAGGTCTCTGTATAAAGACCTCACAAGCCCAGCTGAACTACATCACAACATACACACACACATACAGACACACACACACATACACACATACACACACATACACACACATACACACACATACACACACATACACACACACACACACACACACATACACACACATACACACACATACACACATACACACACACACACACACACACACACACACACACACACACACACACACTACACATACACATACACACACACACACACACACACACACACACACACACACACACACACACACACACACACACACACAACACACATACATACACCACACAGATACACACACACACATACGCAGAGCCAGAAACGAATATGCACAGATAAGAAGGGAGGCCCAAAGACAATATGAAAATGACATAGCAGCGAAAGCCAAATCTGACCCGAAACTGTTGTACAGCCACATCAGGAGGAAAACAACAGTCAAGGACCAGGTAATCAGGCTAAGGAAGGAAGGAGGAGAGACAACAAGAAATGACCGTGAAGTATGTGAGGAACTCAACAAGAGATTCAAAGAAGTGTTCACAGAGGAGACAGAAGGGGCTCCAGAAAGACGGAGAGGTGGGGCACACCACCAGGTGCTGGACACAGTGCACACAACCGAGGAAGAAGTGAAGAGGCTTCTGAGTGAGCTAGATACCTCAAAGGCAATGGGGCCAGATAACATCTCCCCATGGGTATTGAGAGAGGGAGCAGAGGCGCTATGTGTACCCCTACCAACAATATTCAATACATCTATCGAAACAGGGAGATTGCCTGAGGCATGGAAGACAGCAAATGTGGTCCCAATCTTTAAAAAAGGAGACAGATATGAAGCATTAAACTACAGACCAGTGTCACTGACATGTATAGTATGCAAAATCATGGAGAAGATTATCAGGAGAAGAGTGGTGGAACACCTAGAAAGGAATGATCTCATAAACAGCAGCCAACATGGTTTCAGGGACGGGAAATTCTGTGTCACAAACCTACTGGAGTTCTATGACATGGTGACAGCAGTAAGACAAGAGAGAGAGGGGTGGGTGGATTGCATATTCTTGGACTGCAAGAAGGCGTTTGACACAGTTGCACACAAGAGATTGGTGCAAAAACTGGAGGACGAAGCAGGGATAACAGGGAAGGCACTACAATGGATCAGGGAATACTTGTCAGGAAGACAGCAGCGAGTCATAGTACGTGGCGAGGTGTCAGAGTGGGCACCTGTGACCAGCGGGTTCCCACAGTGGTCAGTCCTAGGACCAGTGCTGTTTCTGGTATTTGTGAATGACGTGACGGAAGGAATAGACTCTGAGGTGTCCCTGTTTGCAGATGACGTGAAGTTGATGAGAAGAATTCACTCGATCGAAGACCAGGCAGAACTACAAAGGGATCTGGACAGGCTGCAGACCTGGTCCAGCAATTAGCTCCTGGAGTTCAATCCCACCAAGTGCAAAGTCATGAAGATTGGGGAAGGGCAAAGAAAACCGCAGACGGAGTACAGTCTAGGGGGTCAGAGACTACAAACATCACTCAAGAAAAAAGATCTTGGGGTGAGTATAACACCAGGCACATCTCCTGAAGCGCACATCAACCAAATAACTGCTGCAGCATATAGGCGCCTAGCAAACCTCAGAACAGCATTCCGACATCTTAATAAGGAATCGTTCAGGACCCTGTACACCGTGTACGTTAGGCCCATATTGGAGTATGCGGCACCAGTTTGGAACCCACACCTAGCCAAGCACGTAAAGAAACTAGAGAAAGTGCAAAGGTTTGCAACAAGACTAGTCCCAGAGCTAAGAGGTATGTCCTACGAGGAGAGGTTAAGGGAAATCAACCTGACGACGCTGGAGGACAGGAGAGATAGGGAGGACATGATAAAGACATACAAAATACTGAGAGGAATTGACAAGGTGGACAAAGACAGGATGTTCCAGAGATTGGACACAGTAACAAGGGGACACAGTTGGAAGTTGAAGACACAGATGAATCACAGGGATGTTAGGAAGTATTTCTTCAGCCACAGAGTAGTCAGTAAGTGGAATAGTTTGGGAAGCGATGTAGTGGAGGCAGGATCCATACATAGCTTTAAGCAGAGGTATGATAAAGCTCATGGTTCAGGGAGAGTGACCTAGTAGCGATCAGTGAAGAGGCGGGACCAGGAGCTCGGACTCGACCCCCGCAACCTCAACTAGGTGAGTACAACTAGGTGAGTACGCATACACACACACACATACACACACACACGCACACACATACACACAAACATACACACACACACACACACACACACACACACACACACACACAATACACATACACACACACACACACACACACACACACACACACACACACACACACACACACACACACACACACACACACACAATACACATACACACACCACACACACACACACACACACACACACACACACACACACACACACAATACACATACACACCACACACACACACACACACACACACACACACACACACACACACCACACACACACATACACGCAGAGCCAGAAACGAATATGCACAGATAAGAAGGGAGGCCCAAAGACAATATGAAAATGACATAGAAGCGAAAGCCAAATCTGACCCGAAACTGTTGTACAGCCACATCAGGAGGAAAACAACAGTCAAGGACCAGGTAATCAGGCTAAGGAAGGAAGGAGGAGTGACAACAAGAAATGACCGTGAAGTATGTGAGGAACTCAACAAGAGATTCAAAGAAGTGTTCAGAGAGGAGACAGAAGGGCTCCAGAAAGACGGAGAGGTGGGGCACACCACCAGGTGCTGGACACAGTGCACACAACCGAGGATGAAGTGAAGAGGCTTCTGAGTGAGCCAGGTACCTCAAAGGCAATGGGGCCAGATAACATCTCCCCATGGGTATTGAGAGAGGGAGCAGAGGCGCTATGTGTACCCCTAACAACAATATTCAATACATCTATCGAAACAGGGAGATTGCCTGAGGCATGGAAGACAGCAAATGTAGTCCCAATCTATAAAAAAGGAGACAGACATGAAGCATTAAACTACAGACC